AAAAAAAAAAAAAAAAAAAAAAAAAAAAAAAACACTGCAGAACACACTATGTACCCACAACAATTAAATTTTTTTAATTTTTAATAAAGTCCAAAAAATACTACAGAACTAATCAAAATAGTTATGTCAACCATGTCAATAGTTACACGAGAAATTATATGCACACCACTTATAAATGTGTTTTTAAAAAGTGTCCAGATTGAAAGTAAACTATGTCGAGTAATAAAAAGCAGTCCACTGATGAGTTCACAGTCTAAAAATGCATACAGAAGTGCATATACATAGGTGCTCTGAGTGTGATGCCCGATGTCTAACTATCATGCTGGGGAAAATCTCTCTCCTTACCCAGGAGACAATGTTCAGCTGGGTGTTAAGACCAGTCAGGAGAAGTGAGTGAACAGCATTCTAGGTAAGTGAACCACATAGAGGCATGGAGGTGGGGAAGGAAATGTGGCCTCAGCAGGGATTCAGCCTCACCACAAATCTGCTGCCTGCACCAGTCAGTGAATCACTCTCACTCTCCAGCTAGGATTCTTCTGTTGCCTAAGTCAATCAGTGTTCCCAGCAGGAAAGCACTCTTGGAAACTGATCACTGCTTTAGGCTGCCTCTGGCACAGAATACACACTGTATAGCAAGTGAAAAGACCTCCCTGTTATCTGATGGAGAAAACAGAAAACAAAGTGTGTGATTTTCGGATGGTCTCAGTTAGCTCACCATATAATTTCCCTTACAGAGCCTGTTGTTTTGTCCAAAATCAAAACTGCACATCCACAGAGCAGAGATCTCAAAGATTATGCGAGAGTGTCAGGAAGAAAGTTTCTGGAAGAGAGGTAATTGCACCTAACGTTGTATTTGTGGCAGCAAACTGCCTAGATATCATATTAGAATTGTGGTAATGACTTACTTTTGAGCAGGGACTTTGCATAACTATCTGAAGAACTTTGATATTTGGGGATGTTTAGAGTTTAAATCCAGGTTCATTCCTTATTTAGAACAGAGATAATATCTGATTAAGGAGCACTTTACCTCACTTAGCAAAAGGTGATACACAAGTAACTTTTCCCTTCACCAAGAACATGTGACCAAGAATGCATACCAAGGCTGTTATTTATAATTTGTTGACTCCCAAAGAGTGGACCTTCCTAAATTCTACTAGACTCTAAGCTTCATAGAGTTCAGAAATAACGTCAGGTTCATCTGGAACTTCATCCTAGAGCCTAGCACAGTGCCCCATTCATAGAAAATACCTAATCGATATTTGGCAAATGAATGAAAAATGGCTGCGTTCCATTAATACTTCTCTTACACTGTCTCTGAAATAACATTTTCAGCTGAGTCACTTCCTCTTTCTGAGCCTGCCTCACACAAGACAAGGGTATGAATTCAGGCTGTGCATTAAGGTCTCTTCCAATTAAAAAAATGTGTGATTCAGCATTGGAAAATGGCATAGTAGAGCCTGTAGATATAGTCTCAATATTTTGCAACATGGCTGATGTGTGGATAATTTATACTTTGAAATACTCATTTTGATTTCTTAAGTCATTCAAATTTAGTATCACTTGTTTTAGAAATAACACTCTCAGGTCAAGTACAGTGGCTTATGCCTGTAATCCCAGCACTTTGAGAGGCTGAGGTGGGTGGATCATGAGGTCAGGAGTTCAAGACCAGCCTGGCTAACATGGTGAAACCCCATCTCTACTAAAAATACAAAAATTAACCTGGCGTGGTGGTAGGTGCCTGTAATCCCAGCTACTTGGGAGTCTGAAGCAGAAGAATTGCTTGAAACCAGGAGGCAGAAGTTGTAGTGAGCCAAGATCGCGCCACTGCACTCCAGCCTGGGCAACAAAGCAAGACTCCACCTCA